CCAGCTCCTAGTTTTGTTGATCTGTTCTACTGTTCTTTTGGTTTCTATTTCATTGATTTCTGCTCTGAACTTTATGATTTCTCTTCTAATGCTGGGTTTAGGCTTTCTTTGTTGTTTTCTCTCCAGCTCCTTTAGGAGTAGGGTTAGATTGTGTACTTGAGACCTCTCTTGTTTCCTGAGAAAGCCTTGCATTACTATATACTTTCCTCTCAGAACTGCCTTTGCTGTGTCCCAGAGAGTTTGGACAGTTGTGTTTTCATTTTCATTTGTTTCCATGAATTTTTAAAATTCTTCTTTAATTTCCTGGTTGACCCATTCATTCTTTGTAGGATGCTCTTTAGCCTCCATGTATTTGGGTTCTTTCCAAATTTCCTCTTGTCATTAAGTATTAGTTTCAGAGCACTGTGGTCTGAAAATATGCCAGGAATGATCCCAGTCTTTTGGTACTGGTTGAGACCTGATTTGTGACCCAGAATGGGATCTATTCTGGAGAATGTTCTATGTGCACTAGAGAAGAATGTGCATTCTGTTGCTCTGGGATGGAATGTTCTGAATATATCTGTGATGTCCATCTGGTCCAGTGTGTCATTTAAAGCCTTTATTTCCTGGGGCGCCTGGGTGGCTCAGTGGGTTAAGCCTCTGCCTTTGGCTCAGGTCATGATCTCAGGGTCCTCAGATCGAGCCCTGCTGAGCAGAGAGCCTGCTTACCGCCCCCTCTCTGCCTACTTACGATCTCTCTCTCTCTCTCTGTCAAATAAATAAATAAAATCTTTAAAATAAAAATAAAGCCTTTATTTCCTTGTTGATCTTTTGCTTAGATGATCTGTCCATTTCAGTGAGGGGGCTGTTAAAGTCCCTACTATTATTGTATTATTGTTGATGTGTTTCTTTGATTTTGTTATTAATTGTTTTATATAATTGACTGCTCCTATGTTAGGGGCATAGATATTTAAAATTGTTACATCTTCTTGTTGAACAGACCCTTTAAGTATGATATGGTGTCCTTTCTTATCTCTTATTATATTCTTTGGCTTAAAATCTAATTTATCTGATATAAGGATTCCCACCCTAGCTTCTTTTGATGTCCATTAGCATGCTAAGTTATTTTCCACCCCCTCACTTTAAATCTGGATGTGTCTTTGGGTCTAAAATGAGTTTCTTGTAGACAGCATATCGATGGGTCTTGTTTTTTATCCATTCTAACACCCTGTGTCTTTTGATTGGGGCATTTAGCGCATTTATATTCAGGGTAACTATTGAAAGATATGAATTTAGTGCCATTGAATTATCTGTAAGGTGACAGTTACATATATTGTTTCTGTTCCTTTCTGGCCCATTACTTTTAGGCCCTCTCTTTGCTTAGAGGACCCCTTTCAGTATTTCCTGTAGGGCTGGTTTGGTGTTTGCAAATTCTTTTAAATTTTTTTGTCCTAGAAGCTTTTTATCTTTCCTTTTATTTTCAGTGACAGCATAGCTGGATATAGTGTTCTTGTCTGCATATTTTTCTTGTTTAATGCTCTGAATACATCATGCCAGTCCTTTCTGGCCTGCCAGGTCTGTGTGGATAGGTCTGCTGTCTATCTATTATTTCTACCATTGTATGTTAGAGACCTCTCGTCCTGAGCTGCTTTTAGGATTTTCTCTTTGTCACTGAGACCTGTAAGTTTTGCTATTAGATGATGGGGTGTGGACCTGTTTTTATTGATTTTGATGGGGGTTCTCTGTGCCTCCTGGATTTTGATGCTTGTTCCCTTTGCCATATTATGGAGATTCTCTATTTTATAATTTGCTCCAGTATACCTTCCTCCTCTCTCTCTTTCTTCTTCTTCTGGGATCCCAATTGTTCTAATACTGTTTCATCTTATGGTATCACTTATCTCTCGAATTCTCCCCTTGTGGTCCAGTAGTTGTTTGTCTCTCTTTTTCTCAGCTTCTTTATTCTCCATCATTTGGTCTTCTGTATCACTAATTCTCTCTTCTGCCTCATTTATCCTAGCAGTAAGAGCCTCCATTTTTTTATTGCACCTCATTAATAGCTTTTTTGTTGCAACTTCGTTAGATTTAGTTCTTTTGTTTCTCTAGAAAGGGGTTCACTAGTGTCTTCCATGCTTTTTCGAGCCCAGCTAGCACCTTGATAATCATCATTCTGAGCTCTACTTCTGACCTATTGCTGTCTGTATTGATTAGGTCCATAGCCATCGATACTGCCTTTTGTTCTTTTTTGTGGTGAGTTTTTCTGCCTTGTTATTTTATCCAGATAAGAATAGATGAATGAGTGAACAAAATACTAAAACGGTAGCAACAACCCCAGAAAAATATACACTATATTTTTGGAGACTTCAAATGGGGTCGTGCACCAGAGATAGAAATGCTCCATCACAGCCTGTGAGCTTGGAGTGGGGCTGGGGACCAGGGAGATAGGAGGGAAATATCATCAAATCAGAAGAGACCTGAATCTGGGGGGAGAAGATAGGGGGAAAAAAAGAAAAAAATATATATATTAGACTGGTGAATAGAACAGAGCCACATACTTGATTTTGGGTATATTTTGGTTTGTTAGAAGAAACTACCTCCCAAAATTTTAAAGAAAGGAAAACTTATATATAAAAATAAGGGTAAGCATGATGAAGGGATGGAATATGAGTGTAAAGATGAAAATTTAAAAAAGGGCGACTGTGTGGCTCAGTCATTAAGTGTCTGCCTTCAGCTCAGGTCATAATCCTAGGGTCCTGGGATCGAGGCCCGCATTGGGCTCCCTGCTCGACGGGAGGCCTGCTTCTCCCTCTCCCACTCCCACTGCTTGTGTTCCCTCTCTCTCTGTGTCTCTCTGTCAAATAAATAAAATCTTTTTAAAAAAAAAATTCTAAAAAAGGAATTGGTAAGAAGTTGGTTGAAAAAGAAAAAAAAAAAGAGGAAGGAATGATCAGGCTGGGGACTAGAACAAAGTCATGTACTAGATTTAGGGTATATTTTGATCTGTTAGAAGAAATTGTATCCCAGAATTTCAAAGGAAAAAAGAACCTATATGTATACAAAAAATAAGGTTACATACAATGAAGGGATAAAATATGACTATAACAATGAAGATTACAAAAGATTTTTAAAAAGGTTTTGATACGATAAAATAGTTAAAAAACATTAAAATAGGAAAGAGGATAAATTAAAAAAATAGAATAAGAAAAAAATAAAATTATTATTTTTAAAGATTTTATTTATTTATTTGACAGGGAGAGATACAGGGAGAGAGGGAACACAAGCGAGGGGGTGGGAGAGGGAGAAGTAGGCTTTCCACTGAGCAGAGCCTGATGTAGGGCTCAGTCCCAGGACCCTCTCTCATGAGCTGAGCCAAAGGCAGACACCCAACCACTAAGCCACCAAGGTGACCCCTAGAAAAAATTAAATTAAAAAAAAATTAAGTTAGAAAGACTAAAGGATCATGGGAAAAAAGCCATGAATTCTATAGTTGCTTTCCCGTAGCTCTGGAGTTCATAGTTCCTCTAGCTCTGGTGAACTTGGTCTCAGCTGGATATCTTTGCGGATCCTCTGGGGGAGGGGCCTGTTGTAGTGATTCTCAAATGTCTTTGCCCGAGGCGGAATTGCACCCCCCTTGCCAGTTCTGGTTCACTCTTGGCAGCTTTTGTTCCCTGACCACTTTCCGTACAGATTTGGAGGATGGGAATGAAAATGGCGGCCTCCCAATCTCCGGCCCCATAGGAGCTAAGAGCTTGGGGCCCCACTCCTCAGTGCGCCCTCAGAGAAAAGCAGTCAATCCCTCCTATCTCCCTGGTCCCCAGCCCTACTCCAAGCTCATAGGCTGTGATGGAGCATTTCTATATCTGGCTCACGACCCCGTTTGGAGTCTCCAAACACAGCCAATTCCTGCCATGTGCTCCCGCCCCGCTCCTCCCTGGGGAAGAAGGAGAAGTTCTTTCTAGATCTGCCACTTGTGGGGTCCCTGATGGAAGAGCAGTGGCCCAACTGTGCCTTGGATCACAGTTTAAGATAACCCAGGGTTGAGAGCTCACTCCTTGGCTCCGGCTCTGTCTCTGGAGCCAGCTTCCCTGCTCCGATACCTGTCAGGTCTGCCACACGCAGACACTCTGGTCTTCTTGTGACATGAGTCCTGAAGGGTCCTGAGTCTGCACTGTCCCCTCAAGGGCTCCATCCCCGCTTAGTCTTTAGAGCAGTGCCCCTCAATGGAGCAGACTTCCAAAAGTTCTGATTTTGGGCTCCTCTGCTCTCTCACTTGCTGGGAGCTGGCCATTCCCCCAACGGTCTATCTTCCTGGAGCTTCAGATTCACTTCTCTGTATGTCCTGCCTTCCGGAAAGTGGTTGATTTTCTATTCTTAGAATTGTTACTCTTCTTTTGTTCTATCTCCTGTTGAGTTTGTAGGTGTTCGGAATGGTTTGATGACTATGTAGCTGAATTCTTGAGACCTGATGATATTTCAGTCTCCTACTACTCCTCCACCATCTTGCTCCTCCCCCTCCTCTTCTAGTATTCTTTCTTTTTTTTTTTTTAAATATTTTATTTATTTATTTGACAGAGATCACAAGTAGGCAGAGAGGCAGGCAGAGAGAGAGGGGGAAGCAGGCTCCCTGCCGAGCAGAGAGCTCGATGCAGGGCTTGATCCCAGGACCCCGGGATTATGACCTGAGCCGAAGGCAGAGGCTTTAACCCACTGAGTCACCAAGGTGCCCCTCTTCTAGTATTCTTATGGCCCACATTTTCACATTGAAATCTTTCATTTGTTAGGAACTTATTTTGGTATAAAATATGAGGTAAGGAACTAATTTAATTTGTAATTTTATTATGGACTTAACTCCCACTTTTATCATTAGTTTACTTTTCAGAATTTCTTGGTTCTATTTTTCTCTTGAAATTTAGAATTGTCAACTTCTCTCAAGAAAATCCCTTTGGTATTTTTATTGGGCTAATATTAATAGATTAAGGGTTGTCATGGTGAATTTTAAACTAAATGTTTAAATTTATCTTTAGGTTACTCAGCAGTTAGAGAATATCTGTCTACGGATCATTGATCTTGTTTTACAGAAACATGTAATTGGTAAGTTAAAGATAGAGTGAAAAGGTAAACTGATATTCTTTAATTTGGTGAACTTAAAGTACACTTTTAGCCCTTCAAATTCAACAATATGGATAAGTTTGAGGAAAAAAAGCTTGCATTCTCTTATGTTTCTGGATATACTTTCTAGTATTAGATATCTGTGTTTTCATTTAGGGAAAAATTTAATACATCCAATAAAGAATTTTTGTCCTTGAATTTTTAAAGGACAGAGAACTTTAAGTTTTTACATTTTTAGAAAGGAAGAACTGGAATGAGGTTTAGGTGAGGTTACTTTACTCTGGAATTGAAAAATGTGAAATAACAGACCTATGTCCAATCAGAAGTATGAAATGAAATGATTGTTGTTCTGTTATATTATAGTGCCTGACTTCTGAATAGAATGAGTAACTAATAGAATCAGGATGTTACAGACTGATGGGGAATTTGTAGAGGAGGCTTGTTTTTCCAAGGTGTTTTTTTGAAGGTGGCAGCCCCAAGTCATGTGGGCATGTATATACTATAGAGGCAGCCTCTATAGTGTGCAAACAGAGGTGGAAGAGAAGCAGGTGACTGTTTAAGACCAGTTGTCTCCCAGCTTTTTATCATTCATACCATTAGTAACAAATTAAGCATGCACTTCTAATATAGGTGGATAATATTTGAATGCATATTGTAGGCAATATACATATGTTAGTAAATTACATTTACATCCATAAAAATAGAAATGTAAAAGGATGGGATTAAACATCTATATACATAAAGTATTGTAATACATTATTTTCCCTCCTGAGTGGATTATCTTGTACACTGCTAAGGGTACCTCCTCCTTCCTTGAAATCATTGCTTTAAAGCACTAGTTCTCAAACTTTGGGGTGCATAAAGAATTCCCTGGAACCAGTTAAAATGACATATCTGGACCATAACCCTAGAGATTCTGATAAGCAAAAAATATATTCACTGATCCCCTTATTCATGGAAGAGATTGTAACTGAAGATTCTCCACTTAAATTTAAAGTAAAGTAACCCTGAGGAGTGAAATCATGCAGTAAGGCAAAGAGAAGTAGTTTATACCAGCCTTCTAATCTGCCTATACCAGCTGTTTGATTTGAGCAATTGCAACATCAGCGTGTTAAGGAAATGGGCTGAGTTTTGGATGCAGTGGGTAGAGGAGAAAGCATGGCCCCAATTCCTGTCTGATATCCCATCCCTAGCCCTAAGGTGATGGATGGTCTTTTTTACATTTTTAGCTGTAATGTAATGTTAATGGCCCATTTTTTTTTTCTTTCTTTATTTTTTAAAGGTTTTATTTATTTATTTGACAGAGAGAGACAGTGAGACAGGGAATATAAGCAGGGGAGTGGGAGAAGGAGAAGTAGGCTTCCCGCTGAATAGGGAACCTGATGTGGGGACTCAATCCCAGGACCCTGGGATCATGACCTGAGCTGAAGGAAGACATTTAACGACTTAGCCACCCAGGCACCCTGTTAGTGGCCCATTTTGAACTGATATTTGGCCATACAGGATCTTAGATTAAAAAAAAAAAATGTTATGTATATTTGTTTGGTAAGATGTCATAGGATCACTCTGTTATTCCAGGACCTTTACCCCAGCAGCCTGACTTCATTTGTGTCCATGGTCTACTCTCTTTCCATTGTCCCACTTCTCTTTTTTCCCTGGCCTGTTTTCATTGCTAATTTACTCTTAAAGTTTCATTTATTATTAGAAGCCAGGATTGACTATTACCGCTTCAACTGTTTTATCTTAGGGAGTCAAAGTCAGTACAACCATCCTTCCCTAACAGTTAGTCTTCTTGGTTGAGAATAGTTGAAATAACTTTTGGTGCATTCAGGTGTAAATGGAATTTAGCTCACTGAATCCATGGGGAGACTGGAGTTGACTGGAGCCAGCAGGACTGTGCCCTGGTAGTGTTCTGCTGAGGAGACCTCTTGGGGTTCTGTACTGCTGTCCACCGCAGTCAGACTCCAGCATGGCCACGAAAAGTAATCTGCAACAGCTTTGCGCTTTCTCATTTCTCTATCAAGTTTCAAAGGCCTGGTCTTCAGCATCAGGGTGGCTGGGTCTTGCACACATGCTGAAGCTGTCAAGGCTGTGCAAGGAAATCTTGGCCACATTTCTGTCTTTAGGCTTCATATTAGGAAGAGGCATTTGCTCTCCTTTCATCATATACAAAGTGTGGGATGGTGATAAACAGAACTTTCAGATATTTCATATTCAGATAGTGCTGCTTTTCAAGTGATTATCTTATGTAACAAATTATTTCCCAATATCTGTGATTTCCAAATTACTCTTGGTAAGGCAAGTATCTGTCTACTAGCTTTTGAATATGTTGTTTTAAATAATGTTACAAAAGAACTCCAAATGCTCGCAGGGTGAATATTAGTTTCTTTTATTTTTTTAAAGATTTAAAAAGTTTTTTTGAGAGAGAGAGCGCACAAGTTGCAGGGCAGTGCAGAGGGAGAGGGAGATAGAGAATTTTAAGGAGGCACCACGCTCAGCACAGAGTCTGATGTAGGACTCAATCTTACGACCCTGAGATCATGACCTGAGCCAAAAGGAAATCAAGAGTCTGATGTTTAACGCACTGAGCCACCCAGGTGTACCTAGTACCTTTTAAAAAAGAGGGAAAAAACCTTTGAAGTTAAAAGACTTTTGCTTAGTGACGTGGTAGGATTTATTTGAAAATTTTGTATTGAGAATTGTGTTTTCTCATTGTGTGTTTAGATATGATTTCCTTTTGACAGAGGGTAATAACAAAGACATATCTGCAAATATAAGAGCATTCCTTTGGATTTTTTCTAGTGGGTATAATTGTCTTGTAAATTGACAAAATACGGTCCAGAATATAGTTTGTAAATATATGTGAGGCTGGAAGATATTTTAGCCTAGCATAATTAAGCTTCCCGAAGAATATTAATTATTTATAATTTAAAAATTCTGTGCATGAGAGATAGACAACAGTCTCTTTCTTCTTGTATCCATTTCTGATACAACTTTAGAAGTATAAACTATATTTTATTATTACACAGTATCAAAAATATACATATTCCTGGGGAGCCTGTGTGGCTTAGTCAGTTAAGCATCTGTCTTGTCTCAGGTCATGATCCCAGGGTGCTGGGATTGAGTCCTTCATGGGACTCCTTGCTCAGCAGGGAGCCTGTTCTCCCTCTGCCTCTACCTGCCACTCTCCCTGCTTGTGCTCTCTCTGACAAATAAAGTCTTAACACACACACACACACACACACACACACACACACACACACACATATATTTCCAGTATTATGGGTGAGTTTAGCAAAAACAAATTTTTGTGCCATCTGACTGGGTAGGGGGCAGATCTTGGTAAGAAAGGGAAGGTGGCAAATAGAGGTAGCTGAAGATGGGAATGCCAATGAGGGGGTGCCCGACGTATGTTATGTGTGAGAGGAATGTATGCGAGTGGATAACCTAAATCTTCCTATCTGTGGTCTCTGTGGTTAATTTTTGCTCTTTTCTAGCATTCTAACTAGAGATTTTCTTCCTTCTAGAATTCTATGAAGAAATTCTTTCACTGGCATATAGTTTAACCTGCCATGGTATTTCCCCTCAGATGTGGCAGCTGCTAGGTATATTATATGAGGTTTTTCAGCAGGATTGTTTTGAATACTTTACAGGTATGGCTTTGACCATCTAACATTTTTGCTTTTCTGTGTCTAGACATTATTTCCTTTGGCGGTTGACATAAAGACTCACATGATTCCACTACTAATCAGAAAATCCTTGTTCTTTCCCTGTTGAGTAAAGGGTGGTGCTATCGGAGCAGTGTTTTACAGCTCCAGGAATACAGGCAGTACAAGGGGGTGTGTTTCCTGTTGTATCTTAAATCAGTTTGCAGTCAGCACATATACCCATACGTTAATTGAATTACTATTTTCTGAATGCTGTCTATATTCCCAGAACTGTTCTAAGCATAGCAGTGTAGCAGTGAGCAAAATAGTGCGTGCTCTTTTGACGCTTCCCTTCTAGTTGGATGGGGGGAACGGGGAAGGTGGGGAGCACACAGATAAGCAAGAAAATACACAGTTTGTCGAATGGTGATGACTCCTATGGAGAAAAAGACAAAAATTGAGAACACTCACTATAATAAAAGATGAGCATTTTAATCTTTCTGATCCACATCTTCCTCGTCTAGGAAGAGCAGATCTGTCACTGTTGTTACTAGCATTTTGTGGTTGTGAGGGAAGATAGTAATGTGTGGGTGCTACAGAATGTGGTTTCAGTGGGAATAATTTATTTCTATTCTTGTCACTCAAGTCTCATTGGGCTTTTGAATTTTTTTTTCCAGATATGATGCCTCTCCTGCATAATTATGTGACAATAGATACAGATACTTTATTATCTAATCCAAAGCATTTAGAAATACTTTTTACAATGTGTAGAAAGGTAAGTGTGTCCTAATCAGTTGTTATAATGGTTCTTACTAATGTTTAAGTGTTTTACTTCAGGACACTCTTTCAGTTTGTTTCTTATACTTCTGTATTGACTTCAACATTTGCTTTTTCAATATTTGCTATTTTTTATTTTCTAATAGAACTTGGAATTGTAATTTGATAGTTTTTTATTGTGTGTTGTGCTTAAGACTATTTGCCATTTTTATTTATTAATTTTAAAATTTTTATTTATTTTATTTTTTAAAAATCTATTCATCTATTGGAGAGAGAGCAGGGGGGCGGGGCAGAGGGAGAGTGACAGAGCACATCGCCAGCAGATTCCTTGCCAGTGTGGGGGCTTGATACCATGATCCTGAGATCATGACCTGAGCTGAAATCAAGAGTCTGAGGCTTAACGGACTGAGCCACCCAGGCGCCCGTTATTCATTTATTTATTTATTTTTTTAAAAGGTTTATTTTATTTTAGAGAGAGAGAGAGAGAGAATGCAGGGTGGTAGGGACAGAGGGAGAGAGAGAAGATCCCAAGCAGACTTCATGCCAAGCATACAGCCTGATATGGGGCTCGATCTCATGACCCCAAGATAATGACCTGAACTGAAACAGAGTCAAATGCTCAACCATCTGAGCCACTCAGGCACTCCTGACATTTGCCACTTCTATAGCTGTGCACTTTATAATGTTTAGGGTAAATAATTTTGTTTATGTTTTTTCTTTCAAAAATGCAAACTTGCTACTTGATTCAAGACAAGTGCTAAAAAACCAGTAACAGAAAAGCAAAATGCTAAGAAAATAACCACAGTTTATCAATCACTGATTTTTTAATTGAATATGTATATTGGAAAACACTAGATATATATTTTTTGAATATAAATAATATAAGATAGAAAAATTGGAATAGTTGTAAAAACGGCATCATTTAGCTCAGTCCAAGATGATTTATTAGCCATATACTGGCTACTGTTATATTTACATACAAACAGGATTGTCTACTATTCTGTCTTTGTCACAGGTTAGATTTCGCCCTCTGTTGGTAATATCGTAGAATCATTGTTGAATATAAATAATGTTTTCCTTCTCCGTTAGGTGAATATTTATACGTACATAAATATAAAACTGCATTGCATAGAGGTGCCAGATACTTAAGTTTGGCCTTGGGTGTAAAATATCTAGTGTACAGCCTGTCTTCCTCACTAGAGGAGATGTGTGCTGAGATGTTAAGAGCTCTGAACTGATAAATCAGCGCATCTGATTCAGGTCTCAGTTCGGTTGTAAAGAGCCTGGAGATTTGGGGAGGTCACTAAGTTTCATCACGTATAAACTGAAGGAGTAGAATCATGATTTTTTTAAAAAGATTTTATTTATTTATTTGACAGAGATCACAAGTAGGCAGAGAGGCAGGCAGAGAGATGGGGGAAGCAGGCTCCCCGCTGAGCAGCGAGCCCGAAATGGGGCTCGATCCCAGGACCCTGAGATCATGACCTGAGCCAAAGGCAGAGGCTTAACCCATTGAGCCACCCAGGCGCCCTAGAATCATGATTTTTGAAGACCCATTTAGGTCTGTAATAAATAACCTAGCTTATTAAATCATAATCACTTGGCAATCTTTAGTATCCTCTCCTAAGTGGAGACCATTGCTAGTGAGGGAAAAGGGAAGAGAAAGCAGCAAGCAGAAAATGTAACTGTCCTATACCCATTAGTACAGCTGCTCTGTATTATAGCAGCTGGGGTAAAAGCAATGTTCATGGTTATGGCCTTAGACTTATCAAGTGGTAAAAATATATGTCATAATCTTGGTTTTTATTAATAGCTAATACTTACTGAATTCTTACTATATATGAGGTATTTCCCAAGTACTTTATACATACTAACTTACTTTATCTTTACAACATTATGAGGAAAGTATCACATTTTGGTCAAAGGGGAGATTGAGGCATAATTTTTTGCATCATGCCTGAGGCAAATTGTCCTAAGTCACAGAACTAGTCTACATTGGAGCCATATTTGAAGCCAGGTAATCTGGCTCTAGAGTCCATTTTTAAAATTACCAAAATATATTTTTTTTTCTCTTTCTGGAGGTAGGGACTAAAATCAACCAACCAACCAAGAAAAAACCCAAGTAAATGCAATTTGGGGCAAAGGGAGTGATTTTTTTTTTTTTTCCTTTCTGTATTCTGCAACCCTACCATGTAAGTATATTATTATCCTCCTTTTACAGATGGGGACAGTAAGACACAGAGGTTAATTAGCTTTTTTAAAAGCACAGATAGGTGTCAGAGTGGGAATTTGAACGAAGACATTCTGGTTCCATAGATCATTCACATTTAGAATCTAGATGTAGATATATTATCCTAAGAGGTAGAATTTTAAATTTTATGTAAATAGGGTTGATTTTTGGCTTTGCCAGCTACCTGCTTGTGATTCAGTTCACTGATCCATCTGTTTTTGTTTCCAAAATTTTATAGCTGTCTTCTTTTTTCCTTTTCTCTGTCTTTGTAGATTTATGCCTCTAAAACCTCTTTATTATCATTTTAATGGTCTTTTGGGAAGTAATAAAATTAAATGGGAATGTTCAATCTGTCTTCTTTATCAAGAATTTCTTTTTAATTCACTTTTCTTAAGTTGTATTTGTCTAGGAAGTTATCCAATTCATCTGAGCTTTCAAATATGTAAGGGTTATAATGTTCTCCATAGTATTTGCTTATTTTAATCTCTCCTTTACCTGTATTTATGTCTTTTTCAATTCTAATATTTTTATAATTTTGCTTTCTACTCTTTAAGAATAATTCTGACAAAAGTCCATTTAGTTGTCTTTATTTAATGAGTCTGTCTTTTGTTTCTCTCTGTTACCTCTTTTTGTCTGTATTTTTAATTTCTGTCTCCTCTTTAGGTTAAGTCTGTTCTTTTTCTTGTAGCTTAATGTTTGGACTCTTATTAATTTTTCCATATTTTCTTATTTCCAATATGAGCATGGCTCTACTCTATAAATCTCTTTTCTGAGAACCTTATTGTAAGGCAATTATATTCCAAATTTTATGTATGAACATGTGCATTGTAAAATTATTTATAATAATAGAAATATAGAATTAACAATAGAGGAATGGTCTGGTAAACTATTAAACTTATGTACTGTAATACTTACAGTCCTAAATGACTATAACATCCATGGGAAATGTTTGTAGTTATAAAAATCCATATGGAGAAATTAAAAGGTGTGTGATAGTAAATTATGACAAAAATGAACTCAAAATAAACAAAACTACAGGGTTTGTTTCATTGTTTAAATGAAAGGTTTTTAAGAATTTCTTTTGATTTCATTTTATTGTTTTGTTGCCTTTAAAGGGAATCTTTTCTTATCTGGACATTTAACTCATATAGCTTACTTTATTGTAATTGTGATGATTGCAATGCTGGGCTTGATCCTAGGACCCTGGGATCATGACCCGAGCTGAAGGCAGACACTTAACTGACTGAACCACCCAGATGCCCCCAAGCTATGATTCCTGAATTTTTATGGGATATTTGCTTCCTGTAGACTCAAGTTAAATTCTATACAATGGTGTTCACTGCTGAGCTGAATTGTAATTACTGTAGGTTCTATGTGGAGATGCAGGAGAAGATGCAGAATGTCATGCAGCCAAACTTCTTGAAGTCATCATTCTTCAGTGCAAAGGAAAGGGAATTGATCAGGTAATACATGTATGGAAAGGTTGTACTGGATGTTTATATTGAAAATTTACATGCTTGAATGAATTTTGTTTATATTATGGTGGAAAATTAAAAAGATAGCTTGTAGTTTGTGCTTGCTGGTACAAATCCTATTTAAATGACAAAAATACTCATGCAGTTTGAAAATTGCACCTTGCATTCTAGTTGAGAAAGAAATAAACAGGAAATGTAATAATTTAAGAGGCTGTCAAGCAAATCATGAAGAAGATAAATATGTAAATTCTACTCAACAGGTTTTCCAGAGATCTTCATTCTCCCTTTGCTTTTATGGATTCTCTTGAGATGTTCTCGGATATCTTCTTTAAACCAGAATTGAAGATACTGTACAAAAAAGAAAAAGTTTCTTTTACTGATTAATAAAAAAAAAGCACTATACATTTTCAACAAAGATTAATTTGACGTTTGATATAATCATGATGTGATAGTTACTGAGAAAAGTGTTGAAGTGTTAAAGTGAAATTGTGGAGTTATCTTTTTTCTTTCATTCTGTAACTTTTGCTCCGTGTACTTTTTTAAATAGCTTTATTGAGCTGTAATTCACATACCATATATTTCACTCCTTTACAGTGTACATACTTACGTGGATTTTAGTATAGTCACAGAATCATGCAACTATTATGACGGTTTTAGAGCATTCCCTCACTACTCCCCAAAGAACTCCATACCCAGAAGTAATTACTTCTCATTTCCCCTTAACGCTCACCCCCCAGCCTAGGCAACCATTATTCTACTTTCTTATTTAGAGATTTGCCTATTCTAGACATTTCTTTTTTTTTTTTTTTTTTAAGATTTTATTTATTTATTTGACAGAGACACAGCTAGAGAGGGAACACAAGCAGGGGGAGCGAGAGAGAAAGAAACAGGCTACCTGCTGGATCCAGGACCCTAGGATCATGACCTGACCCAAAGACAGATGCTTAAGGACTGAGCCACCCAGATGCCCCTATTCTAGACATTTCATATAACCAGGATCATGTGGTCCTTTGCGAATGACTTTTCTCACTTAACATAATGTTTTAAGGGTTCATCCATGTGTGGGTATGTATACTAGTACTTCATTTCTTTTTATTGCTAAATATTCCATTGGGTGGATATGTCACATTTATTTTAGCTATTCATCAGTTGATAGACATTTGGATTATTTCCACTTTTTTAAATTATTATTTTTTAAAAATAAGTTCCATGCCCAGTGTGGGGCTTGAACTCACAGCTCTGTAATTAGGAGAGCTCTACCAACTAAAACAGCCAGGTTCCCCTGATTATTTCCTCTTTTGACTTTTATGAAAAATGTTATGAACATTTGTATGTAGATCTTTCTGTGGACATGTTTTCATTTCTCTTGGTATGTATCTACGAGTGGTAATTCTATGCTTAACCATTTGAGGACCTGCCACACTGTTTCTCCAGAGCAGCTGCACCATTTCCCAGTCCTACTAGCAGTGAATGGGAGTTCCAGTTTGTCTGTATCCTCATCAGCTCTTACTTTGTCTTTTTGTTATATCTGTCCTTACAGATGTGAAGTAGTATCTTGTTGTTTTGATTAGCATTTGCTTGATAGCTAATGATGCTGAGCATCTTTCATATGGCCATTTGTTTATCTTTTTTTGGAGAAATGTCTATTCAGATTCTTTGTTCATTTTAATTGGGTTGTTTACTATTGAGTTATAGAAGTTATTTATAGATTCTGAATTCAGGTCCATTATCAGATACACAATTTGCAAAAATTTTCTCCCATGGGGCACCTGGGTGGCTTAGTAAAAGTTTTCTCCCAATTTGTGAATTGTCTTACCATTTTCTTAATAGTGTCTTTTGAAGCAGTTTTTAATCTTGATGCCCAGTTTATCTTTTTTCTTTTGCTGTTTGTGGTTTCTGTTACATTTAAGAACCCATTGCTAAATCTGAGTCCACGAAAATTTCCTTCTTTCATCTTCGGAGCATTATAGTATCCTGAGCTTATAGTATTTGCTGTAATATTTAAGTCCTTAATTCATTTCGAGTTAATTTTTCTGTGTGGCATGAGGAAGGGGTTTAAATTCATTATTCTGCACGTGGATAGAAAGTTGTCTCAGTACCATTTGTTGAAAAAGCTATTCTTTCCCTATTGAATTGTCTTGGCACCCTTATCAAATGAATTGACTATAAATGTGAGGATTTATTTTTGGACTCTCATCTGATTAATTTTTTAATCCTTAATCCAGGACTATACCGTCTTTATTATAACTTGGTAGTAAGTTTTGAAATTAGGAAGTTTGAGTCTTCTAGTTTTGTTCTTTTGTAAGATTGTTTTGGCTATTCTGGGTCCCTTGAGTTTCCATATGAAATTTAGGATCAGCTTGTCAGATCCAGCAAGGAAGTCAGCTGGCATTGTGTTGAGTCTGTAGATCACACTGGGAAGTGTTGCCAGGGCTCAATCCCATGTACATGAGATCACCACCCGAGCAGAATCAAGACTCAGACACCCAACTGACTGAGCCACCCAGGTGCCCCAAGGTGTTTGTATTTTTGAATCTAAAGTGTGTTTCCTATAGATAGCATTTGGATGAATCTTGTTTTCTTGCTTTTTTTTTTTTTTTTAAATCCAATGAGACATTCTCTCCTTTTGATTGTTTATCTGTTGATATTTATTTACCATGTTATGATGCATGGATTTAGTCTGCTATTTTATTTATTTTTTTGTCCCCCTATTTTTTTTTACTGCTTTCTTTTGAAATAAGTAAATACTTTGAAATAAGTAAATATTTTCTAATGTCACATTTTAATTGCTTTTTAATTTTTGTCCCCACTATTTAAAAAATTTGCTTAGTGGTTATTCTAGGGCTTACTGTAATATATCTAATCAGAATCTATTTCAGATTTAGATTAACTTCATTTTATTGAGATATAGATGCATTACTCCTATATAGCTGTATCTCCTCTTCTTCCTTTTACTGTTACTGTTCTATATGTTACACTTTATATATGTTATAAAGCTAGTAATACACAGTTTATAATTACTATTTTTTTGTAATTTTATGTGTTAAGCTAAGAAAAGCGAGCAAGTATATATAGAGTTTGTCATATTAACCTTCTTATTTACCATTTCTCAATTCTTTCCATTTGTTCCTTTGGATTGGAGTTGCCATCTGGTGTCGTTTGCTTGCTCCAGTACAATCTTGCACCTATCTCCTTTTTATTGTTAATGTTGAAAATACTATATTTCTATATTTTATAGTTTCAATGATATAATTTTAAGATGTTATTTTATGCAGTTGCTTTTTCTTTTTTTTTTAATTGCCATTGTTTTTTAAAACACTAAGGGAAGAAAGTCAAAGGAATAGTGTTTTTCTGTTTTTGAAAATTACATAATTACTGTGTGTGTGTGTATTTGTTTTTAAATTCCCTTCTGGGTCACTTACTTGCAGCTTGAATTTCCTTTAGTATTTCTTATAAGGTAGGTCTGCTAGCAATGAAATCTCTGTTTTTGTTTTCTGAGAATATTTTTATTTTATTTTCAGTTTTGAAAGACAGTTTCTACTGAATTCTTGGTTGACAGGTTTTTCTTTCAGCAATTTGAACATACCATCCTTCTGGTCTCTTGTTTAACAGTTGTTAATCCCATTAACATTCCCTTGTACTTGGCAGTGGTGTATGTTTTTTCTTATGCTGCCATCAACATTTTCTCTTTGTCTTTTACCATTTTTACTATGGAATGTCTTTGTGTTTATCTTACTTGGAAGTTGTTGACTTTCTTGGGTGTGTAGATTGTTTTTTGTCACATTTGGCAAGTTTCTAGCCATTTCTTCAAATATTTTTTTTCTTCTTTCTCTTTTTTCTCTCCTTCTGATGTTCCTGTTAAACATATGTTGGTGTATTTAATGATGTTACATATTTCTTTGAGACTCTGATCATTTTTCTTTATTCTTTCTTTTCTCTGGTCTTTGGATTGCATACTCTTTTTTCAGTCTATCTTTAGGTTTGCTGATTCTCTCTTCTGCCAGTTCAGATCTATTGTGGGGTCCCTGTAGTGAATTTTTCATTTTGTTTATAGTACTTTTTTTTTTTTTTTAAGCTAGGTTCTGTGTCCAACATGGGGCTTGAATTCAAGACTCCAGGATCAAGAGTTGCATGACCTACTGGCTAAGCCAGCCAGGCACCCCTATAGTACTTTTTAACTCTAGAATTTCCATCTGATTCTTTTTTATAATTTGTATGTCCTAATAGATGTTTTATATTTGATGAGATATGGTCATCATGGCTTCCTATGACTTTAAAAATGGCTTCCTTTAGGGGCGCGTGGGTGGCTCAGTCTTTGGCGTCTACCTTCGGCTCAGGTCATGATCCCAGGATCCTGGGATTGGGTCCTGCATTGGATTCCCTGCTCAGCGGGAAGCCTCCTTCTCCTTCTCCCAAGGGAACAAACGCTTGTGTTCCCTCTCTCTGCCAAATAGGTAAATAAAATCTTAAAAAAAAAGAAAAAAGAAAAAAGAAAACTGTCCTTTAAAAAAAATATATGGCTTCCTTTATTCTGTAAACATATTTTATAATGACCATTTTGAAGTTTTCAAAAGTTCATGTTTGAGTTTCTGACCCCAGGAGGGTTCTTCATGACCATCTCTTTTCTTGCTTTTTCCACGTGAACTGCTAGCTTAGGATTTATCTTCTTATTTTAATTAGGAGAGCCACCAAAAAAAGAAAAGCAATTTTTGTTTACCTCCAAATTCTCCATTATTTTTAGAGTGACCCTTCAGGCTCCTTTTTTGTATTGATAAAGTTTTACATGTATGTTCAAAGGCTCTGATTTGACAGAAGCCGGGATTGCTGTTAGAACCCCAAAGAAGGCTTCAGTGAGTAGTGTTTTAGGTGAAAACAAAATAAGGAGGTAGTAAAGCACAGGACTTGAGTGAGAGTAGCAAAGGGTTTAGTTCTGTTGACTGGCTTTTGGAAAGTTTTGAGCAGAAGGTCAAAAGCCAGAAAGGTGGAGA